TGTGTGTGTGTGTGTGTGTGTGTGTTCTTTAACATTTGTAGAAGGTTTCGTCTCCCCTAGAGAGAATTTGAAAAATATGACTTAATCCAAATCAATTATTTCTTTTCTTAATTAAGATTTACTTTACGTTGAAAATTGTAAATCATGTAAATCCATACGAAGCAAGATAACAAGATTATACACATGGATTTACAGCTTTCCATATAAAGCGAAGTTCTAATCTAAATCTGTTTTTCGGTAGTAGAGCCTTCTTCCTTTCTTCCGTAATAATTAAGGATCCACTGCATCTACATATACACTTTGCAACATAAAGTGAGGAATTAAGATGGGTTTACAACTTTCCAAGCAAAGCGCGATTCCACATAAGTTTTCTATTTTTTATGGAAAGCAAAATTTAATTAAGAAAAGGACATTAATTTAGGTTAGGTTATATTTTTATAACTTTTTACACGAAGCAATTTCTGTTTTAGAACTTAAATATTTAGTTTAGGATAAGAATGAAATAGAAAGAGTGGAGGTTTTTCCTCGCATTTACCTAAATTAATATGCAAATGATGAAATATTTATACTAGTTAAAGTTTAAACTATAATTAAAGTTAAACATACATATATTATTGTTAAACTTTATTTGTTAGTAATTAACTTTTTAATGAATAACGAATGACGGTTTTAAACCTTTTGAAGGTCATTAAAGTTATGACAACGTATATATCAACAGTCGTACAATTAAGATTGTTGAAATCAGTGAGATCGCCTAATATGCATTAATAATTTAATCGAGGTTTATGAGTGGATATATTTTTTTGTTGTAGCATGTCAAACGGCAGTACACAAGAAATGCCACGATAAATTATTAACTAAATGTCCCGAGAGTGGAAGGGAGTCAGAAAATACAATAGTAAGTATTATAAATTAAAAAACTAATTAAAAATTAATTTATAATTAAATTATAAATTTAAAAGTAAATAAAATAAATTAAATTAAATTATAATATTCATTCATATTAATTATCTTAATTCATAATATATAAATGTATCATAAAAATATTTAAGTGATATAATCATATATTAGATAGATATAATCAATACAACAGCAGCGATTTTGTCACTCATTTTGTTTTCTAAATTATTAAATACTTTTGTTACAGTATTTAAGAGAACGTTTCAAGGTAGACGTTCCTCACAGATTTCGTACTCACACATTCATGTCACCGACTTTCTGTGATCATTGCGGTTCGATGTTATATGGATTGTTTCGACAAGGTTTAAAATGCGACGGTAAGAATGCAAAATGTCGTTCAGGACATTTTTAACAGTCAAAAAATTGTGAATTGTACAATTAAAAGAAACTTTTATGCATCTTGATAGGTTTAAGTTACTTTTTTTTATCAATCACCTGACACGGTCTGATTCAACACGCAAGTACAGCTTTTAATTATAGCATTAATGTGAAAGCAATACAGTTGCATAACATTCATTATTATATTTTTTGCTTACGCATACTTCACATGCTTTATACTTACACACATATTTTAGATTTTTTTATCTTCTAGTAATATAATTGTATAATATAAATCTTCAAAATTTTCGATCACTAAAAAGCTTAAAAATTAACTTGCGTCTTATTTTATTATTTATATTGTTTTTTCATTTTTGTGCCTATATCGAAATATTAGATGTTAAAATATGGTGACATAAGCATATTTTTTGCTTATATGGAATAATAATGTACAATAATATATTTAATTTTTTATTAATAAATGTCTGAATAAAAACTATTAATATTTGTATTCGAATTTGCTTTAAATAAACAAGTTTCCTCAAAGTGTTAAGATTTATCAATTAGTAATTAAATGATGATTATAATAATTAAATATTTAAATATAATCTTAATTATTTTAAGAATGTATAAATCTTTTTAAATAATGAAATGATGCAACAACTTTTTTTTTAGAATCATTTATTATCTATTACTGTAATTGTGAAATAAAATAAAATAAAGCGTATATACGTATATATCTAAATAAACAACGTATCTGTATTATTACTGGCATGTTGCTTATAACAATACATATTTTGCAGAATTAGCAGCTAAGCATTTGTTGGCAAATTGATATCTTCACAATGACTACTTTCAATAGCAACTTGATACCAATGTGCCGATAACTTATGTTGTGATCTGAAATCGTCATCTATCGAGTAGTACATAGTAACATAATAGCAAGATCTTAACATCCCATATTCCTTTTTATTAAGAATTATACTAAATTTGCAGCAAGTATTAAGCATCATAAGTAAAGAGAAAGAACTGTCAAAATGCTTTACTATTTTTCACTTTAGAGTCCAGTTTTGGAATTTAGTTTTCAAGAGCCATCATTTTATTATTATCATTTCATTAGAATATGAAAAATTTTATATAACGTTTATAACGTCTTTTATTCCATTTTATTCCATGTATGATTTTATATATTTACGAGAAATAGAATTCTGCCGTGTTTACTTAGCAATATCGTGTACTACTCGTGGGTGATTTTAGTGATCAACTTGATATCATCATAAATGTGTAATTCAAAATTCTGCGGTTACAATTTATGAGATCATATAATGCCGTCATAATACCGACAATGTGAGATGCTGTCTTGCCATTAAATTGCTGACAATATATATATATATATATATATATATCAATGCCTGCGTGTTGCTTCAATTTCGAAATATATTCGAAATTGTTGAAGATAAATATAAGTACGCGGCAAGTTGTTATAAGAAAGTATAGATGTGTGTGATTTTGCTTGACACGTTTGATTATCTAGGTATTTATTCAGTATTTATTAACAATGATACAATTAGTATATCAATGTTAATCGTAATTATTTAAATAACATTAAAAACGCGATGTGTATAATTAAGTACTCTAAAAGATTTTACGGGATGATCCTCATATTAACTCAAGATAAAAACTTATAACTACATAATTATGTGTTTGAAATAGTTTAGTTTCAGAAATGCGAGGTGTCAAAGTTGAAGGAAAAATTTAATTTTTTTTCTAAAAATTTTGAAAAGCATTCGAATTGATTTTGATGAAACTTTGTGTACGTTTAAATGACAAGAAAGGATCGCAAGTCGTACGTATTTAAAAACAAGTCAGACTGTCAGTCATATTAAACAACGAACAATTCTACTATTTATATTATTTTCAAAGTAGCGCCTTCTTATGTCATTATTATACAAATCAAGCGACGCGGTAGCGACGCGACGCCAAGTATATAAAAGTCTGGTGATGACCTATAAGTATACGGCACTGGCACTGTCGAAGCGCTACCGCTGGCTTTATCTCGAAGTTTTGCCTTGTCAGATTTCCGATTTTAATATCTCGGAAACGAAAGTTCTAATGAAAGATCTAATGACACTTTCGTTATATAATGTCGATACAAACTTTCAATTGAGACCAGTCCGAATAAAATCGGTGCAGTCAATCCCGAGATCTCGAAATCGAGTCTACGAAAATCTATGAAAATGCCACTTTAGCGATTCCAGTTTTCGTCTTTTTATTATTCTTATTCAGATAGTCCGCCAAGGCGCATTCGCAACGCCCAAAGCGAGCGACTGTCCGTCAAAATGCGTTCTTATGTGAGGTTACGCGCGCCGTTCGAAAACATAACGTGTCCTTAAGCCGATATCAGACTACGCATTGGAGATTGAGATTAAGATTGAGATTAAGATTGAAATTGAAGATTGTACAATCACATTACAGATTGATCTGCATTGCAATTGACAATATTGCTGCGTTCAGCAAACAAAGCAGCTCGGTTTATATACATATTTGTATATATTATTAAGATAATTTACTAAATTTTGTTCATAA